TATTTGCGAGAAGCTAGAAACCACAACACAAAAACTTTAATTACTTTTGTCAATTTTAATTTCACGAAAATGAGTTAGATGGTGATTTTTATTTTGCGTGGTTAGAGTATTATCGAGGGGTTGCACAGAAAGCTCGGACAAGTGCGGTTTCCAATTAATTAAAATTTCCTAAAATTTACTGGACTCGAGGTTTAATTTAGGAGATGTTGAACTCGAGGATTTTTCTGGTCTGCAGTTGCACTAGCCGGAGAGTGTTCAGTCAGCAGTGATTCGTGAATTATGGATGATTGTATTAATTAATTGTGGACGTGGAGATAATGCAAATTGGATAATTACACAACTATTCTGTCTGAAACAGTGGTTTATAGATTCTAATTTTGTGCGAAGTGTAAGTAATGACAACTAGTTCGTAGTGGAACTAATTAGTAGTGGTCGAGCAAGAAGGACCAAATTTTGCAATTTTGATGGGTTGTGGAAGACGGCTGTTTTACTGTGACACATGAGCGAACAAATACCTAGGATCGATGGATTTTTGACTTCGATGCAAACCAGACGCATGAATCATTCTGTTTTTGAACTCTACTGACTTACTACATTACCTGGAAATTTGTCACTTTCTGCGACATTTACCCACGAAAACAATACGAGACAACCGGTGCTTGTTTGTAAGCAGAAAATCTCTGAAATAATGGAATGAGGTAATCCATAAAATATCGTGACGTCAGCGACCATCACAAAAATAAACTCGAAACTTTTCTGCTGAACTTCTAAATCACTCTGGCTAAACATAATCGGGCTGGCTTTGGTTAAGTTAACGAAGCGGGTTTAATTTCGTAATTACCCCTTTGGCCAGTCGGGGTGCAAAGACTGTGTAAATCTTGTCTGTTGTTGGGGTGGTTCGGGGAGAAGTTGGAGGAATATTTACGAGGGAGGGATAAAGACAGCTATTGTTCTGTATCACTGTAGTATATATTCGCTCGACTGATTAATTAATGTACGGTTGTGGCTACAAGTTAGCATACACTAATTTTACCCGATTTATTTTTAATTTCGGCAATAATTCGTGCATGAAACGTGCTTTAAAACGGAGTTATTCTTCTGAAAATGGTCAATGACCGGTCGTGACGTCAGATAACGCGTGCCGAATTTTCATTGTAAAATGTAACCACTAGATAATTTTTTATAACGCGAATTAATTTTGTTGAACGAATTTAAATAAATAATAGCATTTAAAATTATTGCAAAAGTGAAAAAAAAGTTCGACACATCAAACGTTTTTACTTGCCGAGCGTAAGCTAATGACCCCTGGAGTACGAAAAAATAGGTCTCCCGTTTCCACGTGCGTGTCTGTCTGTTTGTCGTCTGTCCGAATTTTTATTAGAATCTCCGAAAATCGAAAAGCCAAAAAATCGGAAAAAAAATTAAAATCGGAAAATTGGAAAACTCAAAAATTATAAAATCGTAAAATTATAGGAATGTCAAAATTGTAAAGTCAAAAAACTGTGAGATCAAAAAATTGAAAAATGGAATATCGAAAAATTCAAAAACTAAAAATCGAAAAATTGAAAAATCGAATAAATGAAAAAGTTTCAATATCCAATAATTGAAAAATGGAGAATTCTAGAATAGTAAAATTGGAAAATGTTAAAAATTCTATTTACTATTACATATTTAAAACTGAAATGAAAACTACAAAAATTGCAAATCGAAAAACTGAAGAAACAAAAAAAATTAAAAATTGAAGAATTGAAAAATTCAAGTAAAAAAAGCTGCGTGCTACTTATTTAGGCCACTGATTTTATCTTTATAAAGGTTATCAGAAAACAAAAATCAGAAATTCGGATTCGACTCAGAATACCAACTTTCAAGTTGTTTTAACGTTATCTAACTGTCGTGTCTGCTTTTTAGAATAATTAACGAAAATCGAAATTTGAAGTTATTTAGCGGCGGACTTTGATATTCAGCTGTATTAGTTTGGAATAGAGTTTACATTGGGATATTTATAATAATTGCTAATACTGCTCCAGAGCACTAAACATTAATAATAGTAGAACAGATATGAACAGTAAGTGTAATGTAATGAAAACACATAGAGGCTATACAAACAGTTAAACAACTAAACGTTTAGCTAACTTTGCAAGTCACATTGTTTGTTACCACCATGTAATCGAAAGCAATTTGCCTTAAAGTTGACTGTAAATAATATACTTATATGGTTGTCGGAGTTAATACGTGCCACTAAATATTAAACGGCTTAAAATTTAGGTTATTTATTCAAATACTACGGCAGGTTACAAACGACTTCCTGATCAAGATGTAGCGTGTTTCCTCTTTTCCACTTTAAGCACAAACTTACATACATTTTTTTAATTTTTAGCGGTGTCCAGGTAATTTAAGCTTGGTTATGGGACACCCACTTAAGTAACGCTTGTTGCAAGCTCTTTGATACACAGTAGACGCCGGCCCTGACTTTTGTAAATTCCTCGGAAAGTTGCATGCCTTCAAAGTTAACAAAAAGTTGGAGTCAGCAGATAGCGCATACTTTGAGGAACTGAACTAAACACCTTAGCTTTGTAACTTGTACATCACGCGAGGTATTGTGTTATCCACCATCTGCTCCTTTTGTTGGTTTCTGTGCTATGACTTTGTAGGTAAGCCATATATGCAGCATGTCTGCATCCGGAAAATTTCTAAAACCACCATTCCGGATCTGGTATCGTATCACTTCGCTCATTAAACTCATCCCACTTTACTAAACTAATTAATTTCATTATGTCCGTCCGTTCGTGCAAAAAGCACCTACAATAACGCGCTGAAACATCTTCTAAGTATATTCTTTCGATTTAAATTTAAATCGCCGATAAAAAAACACGCACACGTGAAATTTCAAGCGGTTAACCGCATTTCAAACACCACCCAATTTCCGACGCCTTAAGGATGAGTATAAATATATGAGACTTGATAAAAGTCGGAGACCTGGAAGATACATCCTTTTGGGTGATTTATCTCGACGTTCGACTCTCTTGATAAAATACAAGGGTATATTTTTAAGGGGAATATATTGCTTGACATGTGGCGGCTAAAAACTGACACTGAATCAATATTTGCAAAGTTCATGCTAGCGATGACGTCACGCAGTGTATTGCTGGTTGTCGAACTTAAAAATTAATATGCGCCGACAGCACGTCCAGGGGAGGGAGTCCCTCGTCGCGAATAATTTAAAATTTTATTAAGAGGAAGCTTTTTAATATCCACAACTTTATTCTCTCTTTTATTGATGCCGCAACCACTTCTTCACGACAAAACCGATCTTTTTTCGAGGGTGCTCTAATTGTGTATATTAATTTTTTCTTCTTTTGAATCTCGGGAGCTGTCTTTTCTTTTCAGAATTAATTTCTTTGGTTTATTAAAGTGCAGGAGGGACGGACCCTGTGTTACTTCAAGTTTTTCTTAAAGCAAATCAGGAATATTAGAGATTAATTGAGATTTTTGTTCTCTTGGGTTTATTTATTTTCGTTGAAGAACCTCGAGTACAATCGTCGCGAAATGGCCGAGCGAAAGTTTTTTAAATTACTTTCGGGGGGATTGTCGAGTAGACTCCTGAACTGTGAAAGTTTTTACCAAAACGACTAGAATATTTATCTTGTTTTATTGTTTTCTGAAAATTGAATACCTCAGTCTAAATACTTTTACATTTTTTTTCCCGCAATTTTCCATTTTTTTATTGTTTTCTTTAATGATATGTAATGCATGGACTTGTGATATGTAAAATCGATTTTTTTTGAGAAAAGGAGACGATTGGGTATCGTTTCCCCATTTTGGCTGTTGTACCTTCCATAAATTCGTTCAAATATTTGAAAAATATTACTTTTAGCAATTTTTCTAACACTTTCCAGCGATTCACGTAATCTACTTCACTCACATTATTAATTTGTTGCAGTTACGGTTATATAATATCAACAGTATAAAGCCCAAAACATTTTATATTCTGTCTGTATGTAGTTCTCGAGGGGTTTCTTTTGGATTCATTTTTTAAAAGACTGTATATACTATCAACGAAGACGTCTTATTGGAAAATTAAATTTAGGAGGATTTCACTTTGAAGACTATTTGGTAACGAGTTTTTTAAGGGTGTATCTTGCAAACATTCTTTCTGATTTTTTCTGCTAAAATTTAGAAGGTCGTAAGGTTGCTCAGGTGATCATTTTAAATGTTGTGATTTATGTTTATTTTTGCAAGCAACAAATATTGCGAAAACTAGAACAAAAGGAATTGATTCCATATTTTTACTCTATAAAAAATATATATAGGTATAGTGAACCAAGAGCTATAAGGTTATATGGCCATCATAAAATCATCCCATTGTGTCGAAGTTATGTTGTTTACAATAGAAAAGGTTTTAGGGTCGTAAATAACGAGTCCACTACAGCTCGACCGGCTCTTGTGGTTTCGTTCAGGGGCGGCTTTCACTAAATATGAAAATCCACCACTCCACTATTTCTTTAGTACCTGCAGCCGCTGAGGGTTCCGAAATAACCACTCGCTTTGAAAGCCGGCCCTGTTAAATATGAGCAAGAAATGTTTAGAAGATGATTTATTGCCAACCGGTAAGCTTAGTGCGAACCACACAAAGGGGGTATTTATTTGCAGTCAACTACTTTTATGATGGCCATATAACCTTATAGCTGTTCGTTCACTATACCTTATTTTAACAGTTCAAAGTATTGAATAGACTGTTTTAAAAAATTACATAGTTGCATAAGCACTTATGAAGAAATAATTTAACCTTTAACAACCTCATATATAAGCCTAATTAACCCATACTTCACCCTTCGATGAATCATAACTAACTGTCCCACACGCCGTTGCACAAATGCAATCTGCACTCCACACGCAAATCACATTTACCCATCATGTGTAAAAATATAAAACTCAAGTCTTCCAGCTTCCTGCAACACAATGCGTTTGCTCTTCGTTAGTATCTCAGTGTTCCTTTTCAGCCCCTGTTTCGGAGGTTGGGTCCGCGATCTAATTTCCCCCAAAGGATGGCATTTAGGCGACAGTCTGGTCCTCCACTTGACGGATTCCCGTCAGCCCAACTCCACTTTCTTGGAAAGACACTCTATCATGATGGATTATGGAGGTTATGGTGTTAGTGTGAGCAAAATCCCAAAGAGAAGGGCGCTGGAAGTGGGATTGTTCACAACCGGGTTTGGGGAAGGTGAGATTTTATTGATAAAGGTCGGTGGTTTTCTGGTTTTAATTGAAAGGCGACCGCCGATCAGCGGGAGTATTTGTTTGGGGGAAAAGGTCGTGTGGGAAATTTAAAGTGAGTGAGGGCTGACAGAAGGCGTCCTCCTGCAAAAAACTTTTTAAAGCTTCCTCTCTATTAATAATTTTTTTTTCTCGGCGAAAAACATGACGGTAATTAGGGGAAAAGTTTGCCCGGGCTTAAAATGGTGCACTTTTTAATTTACGGTTTTTTTTTGTATATTTTAATAACAAAAAGTAGTGAAGCTTCTGTTAATTTTTGGCAAGCTTCAAATAGTTAAAATAGTGTTAATTTTAATTTAATGACTTTGCTTCTCCTGTGATAAGTGTAATATGGTTTATTATAAAATTTTCTATTTTGCATGGAGAATTTGATAAATTTTCAACGTAATTATTAAAATAAATTGCGTTGAAAACTTCATTTATTTTTCATTTTACATACTGTATTTACTGCAAATTCTCTGAAAATTTCGCCGTACATTTCAGTTAGTTTAGCTTAAAAGCCACAATACTGAAGATAACTGCAGTTCCTCCATATATTCCGATTTCTGCACGATTTCACTAAATTTCTCTTTTCAGTTTATTAACTGAAAATATTACAATCAGATTACAGATATGAGATCGTAATTTTTACCTCGTTGAAAGAATTCTAATCTTCCAGTTAAAAAATTAAACATACCTACATAAATGATCTCACAGTTGAACAAGTATGTAAAAAAACCCATTAAACTTATTTGTCGTCGCAGGACCACTCAGTTTTACCTGAAAAACGACGATAAAATGGCAGACCCTCCTCTTTAGAAAAAAATTGACAGTAAGAGGTTCCCATTGTGTTTAAAAAAGAATTTTTATTTTCGCAATGCTCCGTTTAGCTTCGTTTTTATATTTTACGTTTATGCAGAGGACAGTATTTATATTTTGGTTTCTTAAATTTGCTACGCTTCTTGCGCAGGTCACATCGTAGTTCACTACTTCTATTTTAACTTTTTAAAATTTCATTCCACCTTGCCAATGTTTGAAGTCTTTGTTCAGCCTCAAGTTTGTACAAGCCTGCTTCAGCGGCCCTTAAACGGGAGGAAAAAGGGAAATGGGAGGTTTGTTTGTTGTAATTTAAGTTTGAAATTGTCAAGGGGCGCTGTACTGGGATATTTTAAGAATTTATTGGGGACTGGATGGAGTGGAGTTGTTAACTTTTTAAATTTTCGAAGTTATGGGTTCTTGTTTATGTATGTTTGAAGTATTGGCGAAGTTTAATGGAATCAAAAATGTATCACAACCTTGAGGATCGGTATCGAGGAAGAAGGGAAGAGGTGGAATGAGGGGATTTTGGGGAAGTTTGTATTTGTTTAACACTAATTCATTAATTTATGAGTAGTTAAGTTCTAGTCGGAGATTTTTCTTCAAGCAGTTACTAAATCAGTGTTTGCTTTTTAGTTAGAACTACGTAGAGCGTGAATTCACAAAAAAGGGTATTTTGTGTTAAAAGAAGATATTTAGTGCAAGTTGTATAAAGCGAATTCAAAACTGAACTGAGCTTGCTACAGCACAAAACTGGGTTTAGACAAGCTGAGTTTAAACCACGAACAAATTTATTCTGCTGTTGGTTTCTTTGGGCGAAAAGTGAATGCCATTCACGACAAAATGAACTTACTAGAAGTCAAGTTTAGAAGTTTTTGCACGTGATCTAGATCTTATTTAAACGAATTCATTTTCATGTAAATATTTAAAAAGATTCGTTGTGAACAGTCAAGTAAAATACAAACAATGAAATTAAAATTTTATAAAATTTTCATCTGGAATTCCGCTCTTCAACTATTTCATATAATTTGCTTAACATCTGCCGTACACGGTAAGTGGCATTGGAAGCTATTTTGGTTTAACAGACATATAAAATCATGTCTACACCATGTCGTAAAGTAAATAATCAATGTCTTAAAAAAAACGTGCTTCTGCATTTGACTTTTATTTCTGTCTTATGTAAGAACATATACGTGCCGGAACAATTTAAATCGATTTCTATTTCTGTACCAGCAATTTAGCAATATTTATGTTCTTGTATTTTGTAAAGAGCCCTACTAAAACCGTGTAAGTTATGAATAATTCCAAGCTTTTGTATTTTGCATTTATATTGAGCATTTAAACTTGAAAGTAAACAGCTGGATCTACAATAAAAGCCTCATTGCAGGTTATACTCCCGTTTCAGTAACACCCTTGTAAATAAAACTGCTTTGTAGATGTAGTCATTACAATTCGGAAAAGCAATCGTTAACATGTGCGAATAAATATTTATAAACTGTTGTTTGGTATATTTGGTTGCCTAGCTGATTAGTAACAAATACTTTTAGCTCGGGGTTCAAAGAACTCTGCCTTCAGTCTAATAATCGGCTATAAGCTTGCAACAATGGCTGCGATAGGTCTTTCAGTGATGGGAGCTTTCGTTCTTAAGTCGTTAATGGTAGCAAAAATAGCTGCCTTCATGTCCACGGTTCTGCTAATAAGCAAGCTTTTTCACAAACAGGAAGAATCCTCCCACGCTCCTAAACACATCGAACTGGAACCTCCCACGGAGTTGCATTCCGATTTTTCGGAACTGTCACCTTCCGGTAAGTTTCCGGTAATTTTTTGAAGGTATAGTGCACACGCCTAAATGTCCGTTTTTTTTTGGTAAATATATAAAACTTTCAGGGGTTATATGCGCTTAAATATTAAACATTACCACAACTTCTTTATCCGGTGGTTAAATTTTTAAATCCTTATTTTTCTCATGTTGCTTCACGTAAACTTCCTTTTAATAATAAATTTATTGCGTTTTTTTGTCAAAAGTTCTTAGTTCATATATTTTATTTTCGCATAAAGCTTACTTTTAGGTTTTTACAACCTATTTACTTCTGTTCGTATTATTCGTATTCAACTTATGTGGCTCTGTTTAAATATCCTTCGGCGAAAGATATTCTAAAAGAAAAGTTAGAAGCCTGTGCAAAATAAAGTATTTAGCACACAAAAAACTACACTGAAACTCAGTATCACACAAAATCTTTCTTAGAGATAAGTTCCAAGCAGCTACAAAAATATAGCGCGTTTCATTTACCTTGAATAGGCAAATCGTCGATTGGCAAAATTATTTAAATTCACACTAAATAAAATGGTAAAAAATTGTTCGTTTTTATGTCTGTATTAAGCTCTTGATTAAAAACCGTCAAATTTGTAATTTGTAAATATAATATACTTATTACTTGAGAATTACTAGTAGCTGCTATAATTTGTCTAGATTAGATTTACTTTCTTCAGCTCGTTTACCAGTTTTATCGTGTTTATTTTTAGATTTGTGTTATTATTTCACTTCCCTATTGCAGCCTCTTTGGTTGTTTTATTCCTTTATCAAGAATTTTTCTATTGACAAATTTCCTGTAATGAAGTTCTCTTTACAATAATTATTATCTAAAATAAGCACCGTTTTCAAAATGTAAAAATTTGCCCCTCGTTATTAGGCGCACACACTGTACTTTTAGTAACAATTTCCTCTGAATTTTAGGATATGAGTATTATTATCCTACCGGCTCGGATGCTTACTACTCGTACGCGAGTCTCCCTCAGGGCATCGATTACGCGACTCCGGAGCACGCTGCTGGCAACTCGACGCTTCCGGCTGTTCCGAGTAATCAACAAGTTGCCAGACGGCGGGATCCAACGAAGAGGAGAAAAGTTCCTGTCATTACTATCCATCAGTATTCTGTTAAGACGTGATGGAGGAATACTTGTTTTCTGTTGTTAATTTATTCATGTTTGTAATAAATTCGACTTTTTTCCCCTTTTTGTTATATGGAGGTTCATTGGAGAGCTTCTGGCGTTAATTGAATTATTGAACTTGAGCTACAAGGGAAAAATCGAAAATTGCTAACAATTTTCTGTTATAATTTTCAATAGCGGCAATGATGAAGCAAGAGGAATTACAAAAAGCGAAGTACTTTATTTCGTTAGTGTTGTTGTTAAAATTGGTCATTTCAGGCAGCTAGCTAATTTTGCTTTTGTTGGTCGTGTTGATGTTACTAATGAGAACGTTAATAAGTTTGAGTGTTTGAAATCGATAAAGCTACAATTTTGTTAAAAATTCGTAATGGACAGTTAAATTTAATAAACAGGCACTTTCAAAATTTGCTGTTGTGCTAGAGTGATATTTCAAACGTTTAATTTTAAATCGGTTGCGAGCTTTAGAAACTTGTTTTTGATGTTATTGTTACATGTTTACAAAGAAAAACAAATCCTCTAAAAGGATATAAAATACATGTAAGAACTGGTTTTATGCAACCAGTCTGACATTTATTTTGAAACAGACAATGTAAACTTTTAAGTAGAAAATACACTAATCGCATTGTCATTTGCAGCACTTCCACTACTTACTTACAGAGACTTGAACAAAAAATTACGCTCTATTGAATTTGTGAGAAATCCTAGACTTAATTTCATTTAAGATTTCAGCTCGTCGGGATACCAAACGAAGTAGAAAAAATCTTTTACTTAAATTATTCGAGCTGCAATCAGTCGAGACTCCCATACAATTAAATAAGGCCATATTGTGTAGTCAAGCTGGAGCTTTTATGAGAAATGAGGGCTTGAACTAGAGGGAGCACAGCTTTGCTTTGTTCTCGAATATTCAGCTTTTGTTTCATTAAAGACGTAATTCTCAAAGCGGAGTGAGAGATTTCCTATTCACTTAAAGTTTAACGAGAGGGTTATTATTTTTCGAGCATCTTTAAATAAACCAATAGCCGTTTTTTCCTGTCGCAAATACGCTGTGATAGGGAAATTTCATATTATCTTGGCATTTAACAATGGAAGTTTTCCATTTATGTTTGATTGTAATCTGGATTAATTTTTTTTAATCAAACTGAGTTTTCCGGTTTTTAACAAATGTTTGTTGGATTTTCTTTATAATAGGAATAATTTCTGATGAACAGTGAGGGGTTTAAAAACAGTCGCCCCCATTTCCTCGCTGTATTTTCCTGGAACATTTTTTTGTTAGTTTTTTATCTCTTTCCTAATTTAGATAAAACCTCATATCATTTATTGTTGCTGATCCCGTCTCTTCTGAGTTTTTCTCTTGCATAAATTATTATCCAATTGACTCCTTCAGCTTTCAGGGACTCGTTATAGCCGGTTAGTATGCGGAGGTGAAATCTAGTAGGTCCCCAATTCCTTCAAGAAACCTCCACACTAATCACACGAAGAGGAAATGTTGGAGATAGCCACTTCCTGCAGAAATTCTTGACTTTAAAATAATATTTGCTTAAAAAACTAGAACTACAAAATAAACAAGATTTTCGTGACATAAAATTCTTAGCCATTGCTTTTTTTTATATATATTTTTCAGAAAAGTTTATTATATATTAATCATTAACGGCATAGGGTCTCGTTTAACCACTTATGGCATTTAACATTTACGAGTCTATCACTAATATTCAATTTAAAAATAGAATGCTTAAATTTCTGTATTAATCCTAGTACACAAGTTTTTTGCGTACATCAAATCACAAACAAAAATTATTGTAATGATAAGAAAACATTCGATGCTGTTTCAGGCAGTATTGTTGTTATATTTTGTTTCCATTATAACATAATTATATTCGATGGTTTTGCCCTTTCCGGAACATCTGATTTTGCAAATAAATGTCACACGTGTTTTTCAATACACAATAATGTGTAATTAAAAGAGCGAGCAATAAATTGTATGAACAATAATTCGGTTATGAAGATCACCCTAAAACTCTTCGACTATAATCAACTACTAAACTACTTAGTTGTCGTATTAAAAACTGTAGCATTAGCACGTTTGAATCAGGAACTTGCCTCCCTTCAAAAACAATCATTATAAACCTTTTTGTATAAACAGTGCAACTTTTATTACAAAAAATATTAACAACTCACAATAAATAAAAAAATAAATAAACAACACGCAAAAACGGCACCAATATGGCGCCAGTCTGTCAAACTTTCAGTTTAATTTTGTGGAATTTGGGCACGGTAGGCCATATTTTGGGCATCGAAATTCCTTCCCCAGCCTCCTCCATACGCGTCGTGTCCGCCCCCACTGGTGTGGTGCTCGTGGTGCTCATGGTGGGGGTGCGCCACCACCTCGTAGGTCACGTGCTTTTCGTGATGAAGCAACTTTTTCAAACCGATGATAGCCGCCAAAACTAGAGCCAACTGAAAACCAAAAAAATATCGCGTTTAGAAACTAAGTTTGATAACAAATTGACTGAAATGTCGTACCTTGCTGACGAGCAGCGCTTTGCCTACAAGCAGCACAAGGGCCTTGAAGGCGAGAGCTTTCAGGAGGCCGATTTTCATGACGGCGGCGGCGATGATGGCGCCCATTCCGTTGTCCTTTTTCTTCCTGGCGTCGCCTTCCGTGCTCTTCACGGGGCGGAGGGAGAGGCCGAGGTTGAAGCCGCCGTCTTTGTCGCCTTTTCCGGAAATTACCACGTCAGCTCCGTCCATGATCTGGAAGTTTGTTGCGGAGTATTTATTTTTGAATTTTTTCAGAGGTGAGGCTAAGCTCGGGAGCTTTTGCGAACGATTAGGTACAAACGGAAATTGGAAATGTTTTAATTTAGATGGTGGAATTGATTGGGGCTTTATTGATACTGAATTTATTTAAGTGAGGGAATAGGTGTGTCAGGTTGAAACCAACGCGGCGTAATGAAATTTTTGATTAAAATAATTTCAAGCAAGTGGCGAGTGGTATTTATTGAGGATAGTATTTATTACTACCGTTTTTTTTTTTTATTTAATATTAGTTGACATTCTATTTGCACGTTTTTTTTTTGTCATTAAATGAAATTTATTAAACTAATTATCGACATAGAATCAGCTTTATGGAATTTGAGATGATATTGCTTTTTACAATCAAAGGCCATGAAGATTGAAAAGAAGAAGGTGTCGGAGCTGAATACATAGAAAATTCCATTCAAATTGAAACATTTTTGTAGAGAAGGATATAAACCGTTACGAAATTAATTTCAGCTAAAGTCGATACTACAATACTAAAGATATAATGAAGAATGAAATAATAATTGAAGCACTAATGAACTTAACAAATTAAACAGCCTATTTGCTGTTTATCAGCAACGTTCCTCGTTCCTCTGTTTGAACGCTTAATTATTGCATTCATGAGATCCGTATTATATTCCCAGTTCATTATCAAACAATTTTTATTTATGCTGACACATCGCTTCCAACCTAACAAAAGCAAATGTATTGTCTTCGCATTCCCATCAATAACCACTGCAGTGTTTTAGCGCTTCCAAACTTCTCACTTGGCAAGAAACCTCCAAGTCCAGTTTGTTCGAGCAACTTTTACAAATTTTTAAGCGAAGCATCATTATCGAAACTTTTTAAAAATGAGGCACTCCAGTTTGAATTGAATGTAGCAGTTGCTTTGTTTGTTCGTTTCGTCGAGTCTGAAGTGGATACATAAGAATCAAAGCAAGCTCTTCCCTAAGATAAGGCTTCTTTTTGTGAAATATCTCTGTTCGTACAGCACAAATGTATTACAGAAGCCTTTCGATGTTTTAAATTAATGGAGACGACTTAATGGAACTGACAATTGTTTTTCAAGAAAAATATTGTTGAGTAGACTTGACTTCCCACTGTGTAGTTTTAACTCTAACCTCAACAAAATCGATTATTTAAATTTCCAACCTTAATGGCCCTGAATCCTCGACACATCCTCACGCATTTACGTTCTTACCCGCAATCGATTTAAACACTTCCCGACCAAATAAAAACAAATCCCGGCATGCCGGAAGCGCCAATAGCTTAACTTCCCAATGCACATTGCATGTCGGTTCACGGGTGACGGAATATCAGGGTCAGGGGTCAGGAGGTAAGCAACGCACCTTCCATTTCAGCGACCTGGTCCTCAAGAAACTGTAGATTTTATCGGCGACTACTTGACTGAGCTGTGCTTCTTCCGACATGTTTTCCGTTTCGAGAGACCTGGAGGTGTCGGCGGTGAAGGTCTCGGTTGAGGTCTGCGTGATTTCGACATCTCCGAACTCGATGGACTGTTTCTTCAGCATGCGGTTGAAGTAGGTCACGAGTTTGAGCATCATGCAGGAGCTTATGTCACGGTTGATGCATTTGTTGTTGAGTTTCTTCATGAGGGATTCCTCGATGGTGGAGCCGCCGGTGTGTACCTGGAGGAAATAGACGTGTTTTTTTAATTAGGTTGTTGAAACAGTGACAAAACGTCGGCTTGGCGGCATAAAAGGTAATTGGTGCTAATGGATGCAGGAGTGGATGGTATTTAACATACTTATGTTAATTGGTAATTTCGTATCTAGTAGTTTTATGGGTAATTATGGTGGGAATTGATAACATGGTGGGAATCATCCAAGCCCAGTTAGTAATTAATACTTGAACTTGGACGCTCTAAATTCTGGGCTATACAGGATTTCGTCATAAAGCGAACGTCGAACTGGTTGAGAAATATCTAACAACTTCCGCTGTATTTTTATTTTCCTGCAATAGTTTCAGGTTGTTCTAACCTTCTAGTCTGTTTATTGTTTTAGTGGAACTTTAGTACTTCAAACTTACTAATTAATGATTTTGGGTTTTGGGGTTCAATATCGCTAAATATCTCACCTGCTTTGGGAAAATCTTACACTCTTATATTTCAAAGGTAGAAACTCTCTAAATTTTATATTTTTACAGAAATTTGTTTCCATGGAAAAAATTACTTCATTTTTTTTTAATTCAGAATGCAATTGATCTTAAAAATTGACAACGTTCTTTTCATAGCCCGATTTTGTCATTCAAATATTAATTTTAAATACTAGATCAGAATTAAATACCATTTCTTTCTTTTTTTTTACTGGAAATTGCAAATACTATTATTTTCTTACGGTCGTTGTTTTTAAGTCAAAAAGTCGTAAAATGAAACGTATTTTATACTCACACATGTTTAGTTGTCTACTTACGTTGTAACGACGTTAATACACATCAGTCTAATTTGATTATAAATTACAGTGGTTACACATCCAACAAAACAGGTTGTTTAAACGCCGACAACGTTTAATTAACGTCATTTCAACAGACATGTGTTCACCAGGAATACGTAATTTTTGCGGTTGATTTGAGTAAAATGATCTAATGTTTTTCTTTAACTAAATTTTAATTTAGTTCAATATTTTGAAAATTTTGCCCTTTTCCAGCTTGAAAAAAAATATGTCCTGGCTATACGTAAGTTATATTGTCTTAATTTGCGACGGCTACGATGTGTATTACTTTGGTTTTGAAGTTAATTAATACTAAATAGTAATTATGTTACCACGACTTAGGTTCAGCCAGACATATCCAACTCCAAACGTAAAATTAATCGTAGAATCTGGGTTGTTCAGATGAATTTTTTTTTAACTGACCGTGATATCAGAACAGTTCGTTCTGAAATATTTTTACTCTTACCGTTATAACCATTTTACTATAGCGTTTTTAAAAATGCTACACTGAAAATTTCCTTAATATATATTTTAAGTTTTTTTTTTTATATATTTTAAAGCTTTGAAAAGTATTTCAAAACTACTATCTGTGTAAAAAAATCTAGCGAAAAATCAATGTAGGAAAATCGATTTGCAGACGTAAATTAATGGTAACATTTTCAGCTTTTCTATAAAGAATATTTTTCTCAGTACAAGTCAAATTTTATGGATAATTTTTTATGTGAATGAAATGCTTTTTTAATTGCTCCTTTTTTTTGTTGAAGCTGAAGTGCTACCATATTACCTGATCTCTAAGGTCAAAATTTTGTTTTTTTGGTTTTAAAATTTTTCATAAGATTCAAACATATCACGTGCTTTATTGTATTTAAACAGATGTTTATGGAAATTATTGTTGCTCATTTTACAGATGCTACTGAATTTTATAAAAGAGCTTATGTTTCAGGATGTTGCCAGAGCTTTTTTCAGTAATTATCACGTTTAAACCTCTACTTTAAAAATCCTTATTTTTACAATAGAAATACTTTTAACCGGAAACAATTCACCACAAAAAATGTGATGTTTTTTTAGTTCACTGGAATACCTGAGATCACCAACCTGCTTGTTTATTATCAGAACTAGTTTAAAATATGCGCACGTTCCACGAACGCACAAAACAAAATCCGACATATGATAAACCATTTTTCCTTTTTTAACACCATAACTACGTAACCGGTTGTCCCACTATTCCCAATAATGTTTAAAATTTTTCCAGTGCTCCATCCACCACATGTTATCTAACGGTGACTACATATCTAAACCTTCCCACAGGCTTTCAAGCACCGGACACATTCTTAACCCATTTTCGTCTTCATCCTCGTAAATTTCTCCCAAAACAACGTCTTAATTAAACCCCAATTTTTCAATAACCGCCGAAAACCACTAAAAAATCTCCTCCCTCGCCGCAATAACTCGCATCCTCGACAGGATAACAACCCAATAAATAACGCCGTCGAAAAAATGAAAAATAAATCTCACCGAATTGTCTATATGCCCATTGGTGTCATCAACGACCGGTCCTGCGGCCGCCAGGACGACGAAGGATAACACAACACAAATCACTTTAGCGTCCATTTTGTCACTGCTTTTCTCAATCAGCAAAAAATCAACTAAAGCAAAAAACTCAGTACATCACCGTGGTTGCAAAAGGAATGAAGAAGTGGAGGTAGTGGTAAAGATTTTATAGCGTCGGAAGCGCCTTTGCAAGTGTGTCGTATGGACCAGTTGAAGAATTAGGGTTATGGTAAGTATCTCTTGTGGTGATGGGAGTTTGCCTGGTCTTCGGTGGAAGGTCAACCTTATGATTTACGTCGACAGTGAAAATTCTATTTGATACGAAAATTCCCATCCGGGTTAGTTTATTTAGGTTGGTATTGTTTCCGAGGTTTTAATTGGTTGTGGCGGGTGTTCATGTGACGATGATTCCGGAAATTAGATGATTTTAATTAAATTGAATCGCGGTTATTGTGTTAACAAAATTAAGGTTGCTGGTTTTAGGATGACTGGGGAACGTAATTGGTGATTACAGGGTTTGAAAAAATTGTGTAGCGTTATTTAATGAAGAATGTGACACGATTTTGGAAATTCATGTTGTAATTTTTATTCGTGTAAATGAAACAATAATTGGTTATAACTGAAAATTTATAGTTATTAGGAAAAATAAGTTTTCAGCAGAAATAAGCTTGTTTTTTGCAATCTTTGTTTCGCAACGTGGTAATTATAATCAATTAATCAGTTTTACAATCAAAGGAATTTCTTTTATTCTTTTATCACCCTAGTTATTGGCTTCTCTTGCAGTAGTAAAACAACGCCATTAAATACCATTAAAATACATTAAAATTTTCATTCCGTAATTTAAAGTTCTATAAAGTTCTCGCTTCGGTGTTTCCTTTCATTATATGCAGTGGTGATAGATACTTAGTTAATTACGTACAAGCGAACAGAGAAAGACCTTGTTCACGGGCGGTTCAACGCATTAAAAATTAAAATTTTATTTTTCTTTCGCTAGAAATAAACCAAAAATTGTCAAAATATCGAAAACTTAATAAAATCCCAGCTATTTGCGTCCCAAATTTAACGCTTCAACCTCATCAGCTAAACAAATTTAACCACTTCAACTTGCGACAACAAAATCATAATTAAAATTTACCGAAAACCCCCTACCCTGACATTTAAATTAAAATTATCCCGTTAATAAAGCAAGGCTTGACACCCTTGTATTTTCTCCTTTTGCACTTACCCGCATCGACCCGTTCCCTGACATTTAAATTAGGAATCCGTGCCAATAAAATTTTCGCCCGGAATCGGCGCTTTGTCACGTTTGGTTTGCGGTTCTGATAAAATGAAAATTCGCTCGCGCTTTAAATCGTTATGCAACAGATCGTTTTTTCTAATTTTTTTCTTTCCCGCGTAATCGCGTTCTCGTATTAACCTGGATTCGATCGTTTTTTTGCCGTTTTTTGCGATCGGGTAGACACAACATCGCGTACAGTTAGTTAATGGTGTTAGATTTTCAGCGATATTGTTGTGGACTAGGCCAATTACAGTGGCTTACTTCTCGGGTTTAATTATGTCATTATCTGATGGGTTTTTGAGTGCGGAAGGATGCCGTGAGGGTATGGAGTACTTTCGTTGAGGAAAGTTGGAACACTATGAGAAATGCGGGATTAGAGCGTTTTTCGGCAGAAGATGGATTCGTGCTGAATTGGATTTAGACAACGTCCAGTCAGGATAAACTGTCTAATAAAAAAACGGGTGATATATGTGGGTAAAAGGCATGCTTGTATTAAAAAATATACGACCAGTTTTAAGAGGGTTTTAATTCTAGTGGTTATATTTTACATTTTAGAAATGGAGATATTTTTATTACAATTTTACTGTATTTTTAAGGTCTCCAAATGTTTTTTTATATGTGTGAATTTTTGCATACAAAGCTTCTATGAAAACCAAGAAGGAACGACCGACGTAAAATACAGTTTTGAAAATAATTTTGTGATCCCTAAAAACGGAGTCTTTGGAAAGATCTTTGGTGGGTTTTATTAAAATCTATAAGATGATTTTTTGTTTATAGTAAGAAGCCAGGCGAAAATTTCAGTACGTGAGTTTGTAGCAATTTTATTTACAAATTGTCTGTAATTTCTAATAATTTACGGTGCACACAAATTATAACATAAAAAAACTTTAAAATCACATTACAGACTTCTCCAGAACTTCTCCAGAAACACCACAGACGTTTAAGATTTTTAAAAGTCTTTTAAAAAAGGCACTATGATCCCACAACTTTTTCAATTTTTTTGAAAATGAAATCAATAGGGGTTCCAAAAATTCTTGGGATTCTTTTAAAAACAAAATATCTGATGTCTCCAATTCTTTCAAATTATTTCAAAAAAATGTACTAAATATCCTAAGACTTTTTCATATTATTCTGAAAAACAAAACATCAGAGGTGCCCAAAACTTTTTTAGATTCTTTCAAGAAAAAAATGCTATGGATCCCAAAATTTTTTTGAAATTTTCTGAAACTGAAATCGACAGGGGCTTCCAAAATTCTTTTAGATTCTTGTGAAAATAATACACCAGATACTTCCAAGATTCCTTTAAACTATTTCCAAAAACGCAGTAAATATTCCAAGACTTTTACAAAATTTTTCAAAAACAAGACACCGGAGGCGTTCAAGATTTTTGAAAATCCCACAACTTTTTAAAATTTTATGAAAATGAAGTCAACAGGGATCCAAAATTTCTTACAGCTTTTTTTGAAAACAAAACACTATTTTTTTCAATTAATTAAAAAAATATATGGGTACTAAATATTCCAAGACTTTCAAATTCTTTCAATAATAATAATAATAATAATAATAATAATTTTATTGGTACATATAATGCTATACATCTTTTATATGTCAAGTTTACATAATTGAGAACACTACATGAAAACAACAGTAGGATCTAATAAAAATTCGCTAGTGTCATACTAAGCTTTAGATATTAAAAATGACTTGACAGTATCTTTAAAGGTTGTTAAATCTAGTTTTTGAACAGCAACAGGTAATTTATTATAAAACTTTATACCATAATAGTCAAGTCCTGTTTTCGATTTACTTACTCTTAATCTTTTCGTGTAAAATAACAAAACATCTGAGGCCCCCAAAACTTTTCAAATTCTTTCAAAAAAATACATTACGGATCCCAACATTTTTTTGAAATTTTTTGAAAATAAAATCAACAGGGACTTCCAAAATTCTTTTAGATTCTTTTGAAAATAAAACACGAGAGACCTCCAAGATTCTTTTAAATTGTTTCAAACAAAGGTAGCAAATGTCTAAAGATTTTACAATTTTTTTCAATAACAAAACATCAGTGGTTTGACTTTTTAAAATTCTTAAAAAAAGACACAATGAATTCCACATCTTTTTCAAATTTTCTGAAAATGAAATCAACAGGAGTTCCAAAAATTCTTTCAGATTCGTTTAAAAAAAAACACCAGAGGTCGCCAATTTTTTTTAGATTATTTAAAAAAATATATACTAAATATCCTAAGACTTTTTCATATAATTTTAAAAACAAAATATCAGAGGCGCCCACAACTTTTTTAGATTTTCTCAAAAAAAGATACTATGGATTCCAAAATTGTTTTGAAATTTTTTGAAAGTGAAATCGACAGGGGCTTCCAAAATTCCTTTATATTCTTTTGAAAATAATACGCCAGAGGCTTCCTAGATTCCGTTAAATTATTTCCAAAAACGTGGTAAATTTCTCAAGACTTTTAGACATTTTTGCAAAAACAAACCGCTGAAGGCGTTCAAGATTTTTAAATTTAATAAAAAAAGACACCATGGATCTCACAACTTTTTCAAATTTTATGAAAATGAAATCAACAGGGATCCAAAAATTCTTTCAGATTATTTTGGAAACAAAACACCAGAAGCCACCAATATTCTTTCAAATTATTTAAAAAAAAAATACTAAATATCCCAAGACTTTTTCAAATCTTTCAAAAACAAAACATTCCAGGCCCCAAGACTTTTCAAATTCTTCAAAAAAATACATTATGGACCCCAAAATTTTTGTGAAATTTTTTGAAAATAAAATCTACAGGGACTTCCAAAACTCGTTTAGATTCTTTTGAAAATAAAACACGAGAGACCTCCAAGATTCTTTTAAATTGTTTCAAACACAGGTAGTAAATGTCTCAAGATTTTACAAATGTTTTCAATAACAAAACCGCAGTCGTTTGACTTTTTAAAATTCTTAAAAAAAGACACAATGGATTCCACATCTTTCTCAAATTTTCTGAAAATGAAATCAACAGGAGTTCCAAAAATTCTTTCAGATTCGTTTAAAAACAAAACACCAGAGGTCGCCAATTTTTTTAGATTATTTAAAAATATATATACTAAATATCCTAAGACTTTTTCATATAATTTTAAAAACAAAATATCAGAGGCGCCCACAAACACCAGAGACCTCCAAGATTCTTTTAAATTATTTCTAACAAAGGCAATAAATATCCCAAGACTTTTAAAAAAATTTTCAAAAACAACGCTATGGATTCACCTTTTTCAAAAAGTAAAAATTCTTTCAGATTCTTTTCAATACAAAGCATCAAGCAGCTCCACTGTTGTTTTAAATTATTTCAAAAGAATATATTAAATATCCGAAAACTTTTTCAAGTTCTTTAAAAAATGACACTATGGATACTTTTAAATTATTACAAACAAAGACATTAGGAATCTTAAGATAAAATACCAGAGATTCTTCTTAAAAGGGCAGTATACGATAAGGTTCCAAATTCGGCCTGGCATTAATTATGGTTATATCTACACCTAATGAAGCAACTTGGCTCCGATGATTAATTTAAACCAAAACATCTAAAATAAACTCAAATTCTACGATTTACATCAACAAAAAAGAAAAATATATCAAAAATTCATTGAAGTCTGTACCGGTTTCGTGAAACTCCAGCATTTAAATACTTGCATTTTCACAACATTTTCAAACATGGGACTGACTATGCTAAGATCATTTAGGACAACACATGACAAAAAATTAATAATCTAAAACCTTCCGTTTTGGAGATCCAGAAGGTGGGAACTCTGGAATAAGTCTTTCTGAAAGAAGTGACTGCATATTCGCAGCATGATTTATATTTGCACACATGTT